ATTAGTTGGGCATGCGGTGCCCACCAGTGTGCGCATGTTTGTGTGCGAGATGGTGGTGAGGGAGAGGGTGAAGTCGACCGTCACCGTATTTATTTCCTCACTAAAAACAATCTGATGCGCTTGAAGCTATCGCGTTACGCTAAAAGCCGTGGCTTGGAGTGTTGTCAACTGACGAGATAACTTGGACACCGACCGCAATCCGCCCAGTTTGTATCTTGTTTTTTGGAGTGGCTGACTGATAGACTGAGTCAGACGCAATGGCTCCTTCTTCATTTGGTCTTTATGGCGCTCCCAGGCGGGAGCCTATCCAGCGAGGTGTGTTTTTGGTAGGTTTGTCGAATGTTGGTCTTGCCAGCCGATTGTGCCATTCCTCATCTACGGTCTTTTCGACTGTCTTGACACCGGGTCCCGGTGTGAGATTGGTGAGAGAGTGGGGCTAATTCTCTGCAAGTTTCCTATGACAATTGCTGTTTCAGCTTGCTGAGGCTCGTAGTGGACATCGTCGAGATCAGCGGTCGAGCTGTCTTCGTGTACAAGGTAGTATGGTGAAGCGGTTTAAGGTCAGCAAGCGGGGGCAGTCCCCTACGAAGACACATGAGGTCCAGGCAATTAGCACTGAACAAGAAAGGCTGTTGGCTGTCCACACAGAAGCGACTCGTCAGGACAGCCTGCAAGCGAATCATTCAGGCTGGCTCCTAACAATTATGAGTCGTCCTAACCAATGCGCATACACACAGTCCAGGCGAGTCGCTCTCACGCCACGCTATGCATCCGCTCACGCACAGCGCACGTGGTAATGTTGCGCAACTGCGGCCAGGCTGAGGATTCCAGCCGCACTAGTCACAAAGTCAATGGAGTCGCTACTTGCCTGGGGACACATTCTGATTAGTTCGATCTTGTTATGCATTGATTGCTTCAAATTTGCTGGAATGGGTAAGCTAAGAAACTTCCACTTTGCGATATTGTTGTCGTGTTCCTACTTAGGGATTCAAACAAGGCGTAATTGGACAGTGAAATCTACGCATTAGCAACATATCAGAACAAGTAATCGTGGGGTTATGGCGTAGCACGACATGGCGTGTCCTATCAATGAAATTGTTCTATGCCAAAATGAAGAGCAAAAAGTAACAATATTCAACGGTGTAAATTTATTTTCGAAAGTTGCACTAAGCAAAGCAACTTTCAGCTGGTTCCAGTATTATTTTGGCAGTATTTTGCTTTCATATTGCTTCACATTACCAAGCCTTAGAAGCAACAGGCTAAGCCTTATTCTAAGCTGTAGTTCTACTTTGTTCTACTTCCGTTTAAGGTCGGACTTAGCACAGCATTGTGGATGTGTGTTGCCACCGTCACTGGATGGTCTAGCGTGGAGGATAAAAACCATGTATGCTGACACTCGCTTGGCTGTATCTCGTTTGAGCCAGAAGTTTGTGGTATTTTTTTACTATCACCGCCTTATGGTTTTCAGTAATATACCTTTTCATAAAAACGAAAAACAGGCATACAAAGTTATCCCAGAAATAAGATTGAGATTTTGATTCGACAACCTGTCGAATAGCATACAGCTGGACTACACTTAGGTCTAAGACTAGAGCACAACTAATTATAATCATGACGGCTGAAGGAACCTCCTAACATATGTTTTTTCGTTAACCATAATGCCTGCCAAGCACACTTTAAATGGTCGTTCATAAAGCCTAGTAGGCGGTGTCATACACAGACACAGTTGACATAGCAAACGTCTTCATACCAAAGTTTTTACGTTCAGCACAGGTTTTATGTTCTTTTAAAATCGGCGGTTAATCTCCATGAAATGTGAACTGAAATGAGGAAATGCATTTGCGCTTCTGAAGGACAACTGGATTGAGATTTCTATACTGTTCCTCATGTACAGCGATCCCAATATGTCTCATTTACTTTGAGCTTGGTACCAGACTGGACAGGTGGAATCCCTCCTTCTGCAAAAAGTTGTTAAAGAATGTATTTTTTCCTGAACACATCATTTCTGCCTTTAAAAACCTTTGTAAGGGGAAGTTGGGCCGGATTTGCAGGTTGCATACAGTGACATCTGACCGCGGTGGTCTTGATATCCCAGGAAAAAATAGATTAATATTGAAATTGTACTGCGTATATTTAAGTAATACTGGCTTATGGAATGTATTGGTAAGTCACACGCAACCGAAGCGCATAGAGTGGAGCCTCGGTTAACGAATTTAATCCGTTCCGGCCCCAGGCAATAGTGGTTACCCTACGCAGTGAAAAGATCTTGCTCACTTCAACATAGGTGAGATCCATTTGGTATCGTTTTTTGAGAGAAATCTGTGTTTATTGAAAAATAACTATTGATTATATTACGGTTAGTGTTTTGTCTGTTGGTAGCTTTAATCCTTTTGAATCCGCCGGCCGAAAGCGAATTCCATATAAAAATAACTGTTGTTCTTATGTAGAAAAGGCACTTTGGAAAACAATGGTTTATTATGTGAATTTTCGTAGCTGGAGACCCCACTTCGTCTTCAGACGTAGAGAAACGTAAATGCAAAAACAGCTAACAGTTAACATTTCAAAATTGTAGGAAAATCGATAATGCCTTGGTGTGGCGCTTACGCCAGTACCCTGTTGTAGGGTTTTTCATTCTGTTCGGATTGGTTCGCGTTTCGCCCACTTCTGCTTGAGGCTTCGGTATGACGGTGCCTACTCAGTGTGCCTGCTTATGCATTGTGCCTCTGAATGCATAACTTCGAGAAATTCGCGGCCTTTCTTGTATGGACAATAGCCAACAATGTGGGTTTCGTCCCATGCAAATTGGTGTCCAGTTTCCAATTTGTATATGGCGACTTCAGACAAATGG